GTACACGGGCATTTTGAGAGTTAGACAGACTTATCATTCAAGCATTTAGCTAGCACCAGTTAAACTGGCACCACATGGCACCAAATTGTCAGATCTTCATGTCTCATAGCGCGTGACAAACGAGACTGATGAGGTTGGATAAGGATGAACTCCGAGTCCCGCAATCCCCTAATCGAAGCAGAGTGACGCGAATGAAATTGGAATAAAACTTAGGATCAACTGCAGCTAATCAACAACTCACGCAAGTCCTTTTGTCAAGGTCTCCCAGAAGACGAAGACCTAGAGCGGTGTCGTTCTCCATCATTTGTAGGGCTTCATTTGTTGGAGCGAAATAAATATAAGGTCCACCTTCGGTGAGCGTCTCCACGAAGCGGTATTCGCTGTACTTCCTGAAGAAAGCATCAAGTCAGTTGAGAGGTGGACTTACGAGAATTCAGGCGTCTGAGCCAAGTATTGTTGGACCGTTTGGTAAGGAAGGCCTGGTATATGGTCAATCACGTGCGCGATTCCATTGGTTGCTACTTGATTCACGTTAATCAGACGGCCACCCACGTAACCCTGTCCCGGAAGACGTCCTTCAACGTAAACATCTACAAGACAATAGAATCAAATGGGTTCTCTTTTTCATAAAAGAAACTACTCACAATGTTTCTGAAAACTTCAAGACAGCCCACGACCGGTTTCGGCCTTCCACTTCGGGCTCATCAAGTAGGCGCAGTCCTCGAGTTTCCGTCAACCTTATGATCTACTTGAACCCAAATCGGACTGTTTTCGAGAAATACGCTCATTTGCAAATCAATTTGGTTTTCACGAAAGACTCAACTGAATCTCCTGTTTATGATACTCTACAACTGAATGTGCTGCACACAGGCCGCCTCATGATTCAGTTGGTACGATATTCGACATATCGCAACATATTTTCATAAATGAAACTACTCACAAGTTTGCTGAAAACTCATCGACAGCCCACAACCGATTTTGCCCTTCTTGGGGCTCATCAGGTAGGCGCGCAGTCCCCGAGTTTCCGTCAACCCTATGATCTACTTGAATCCAATTTGGGTTGGTGAAAACCAAACTGATTTGCAAATGAGTGTTCTCCCCACGTGGGTTCTCATTTGGCACGTAAATACGCATTGATGCATGTGGAATTTTCGTAAGAGTGAGACACTTTACAGAACTTCTAGGGCTTTTGCAATAAGGGTCAATAAAATACACACCGGAGTCTGATCGGAACTACAGCTGAGCCCGACGTACGCTTTGAGATGGTAACATAGAAATTCAGATTTCAGTCAAAGTTTTGCGTCAAACTTTCGCCTTAGAGTTATCGATTTTGCCCCGGACTAAATCCACAGCAAGGTGATTCAAATTTCCCAAGCACTCACATGACGTTGGACTCAGATATGATGTCTAATGCCGAGATTTTAACGAAAATTGTCGCGTTTCAGTTGAGAGTAGCCAGGCAAAAAGCGGAGGTAGGCTTATGAGTACTTCTCTGAACTCGATTCGCTTGTAGATTTCATCGTTGCCAACAAGAATCTCAACGGGATACGATTTTCTCTAACTGAATGGTTTCAGAGGGGTCAGTCAGTGTTTCGGTTTCGGCAGGGTATTCAAGATATCCTGTTGATAATGTCGCTGAAGACCCATAGCTTCTACTGACCTTATTTTCTACATTAATCTATATTGTGACATCATTTCAACTAAGACGTGAGACGGCCTTTGTGAACCTCATCCAGTTGGAAGTTATCATAAGCGAGGGTTTCTTCTGGGATTAGGTTGGGCCACTTTTGCTGAGAACAAATTAGTTTGTAATTGAGGATTGCACCCAACTTAGGTTCAAGTAGAACATGGGTTTGGCGGAAACTCAGGGACTGCGCCTACCTGATGAGCCCCAAGTGGAAGAGCGAAACCGATCATGGGATGTCGAGGGGTTTCAAAAACCTTGTGAATGATCCGTTACGCCTGGTTACGAGGTTTCTCCACTATCGTAGCAACTGAAACATGAGGCGGTCTGGTGCCACACACAGTGGAAGTGGACCACGATCAGCGAGAGATTTAGCTGGATTCTGTTAAGCTTCCCTCACAACAACCTAATTCGTACGCAAACGAGAGTACTTGTAGAAATCTGTCCGATTTGGGTTCAAATAGAACAAAAGATTTACGAAACGCAGGTGTTTTAGACACTTTTTGCTTAAAATATGGTCGGAAACAGATCAGCAACTGATACAGGAAGAAATACTTCAAAATGATCTCCGTTCGTACTCCTAGCTGGACCGTTTTGCAGACAGTCAGATGATGTTCGCGCATTCTCACGCCAATCAATGTGTATCTTTAGACTGCAGTCCACTAGAAGGTACCACGTGATCCAATCGATCGGCTCAATGCAGGTCGAGCTACAGCCACGCCATTCGCTTAGAATAAAAAAATGTGAACTGAAATTTTACTTCACGGATGAGTCATCAGTCAAATTAGGCTCGACTGCCTTTCAAGTTTGCCCACACCTAGACAATGCCAGATAACGTGACTGTGTCAATGGAATGCGACTACCAGATCCGGTCAAACTTCACAACTTATCGATTGAGGCACGTGGCGGACAGACTCGCAAAAGAAACGACCTTAACTTGACGGTACACATTGTGACGACATCCTGAAACCGCTAGTGTTCATCACTCTGTTCTTTCACTAAGACTCATTTTCCGTTCCACAGGCGTCGCTGTTACTTACCTAGTGTACGTAAGCGACTAGCCTCATAACCCGATTGGCACAATTCGGGCTTCACTGTCCGACCCACGCTGATTCTGTCAGGCGCGTTTTTTGTTTTACCGTGATCCGCTGGCAAGCGTCTCAATCGTACCGTGGTGCGTCTGAGGTGCGGGACATCACACAAGTGATCCTGCAACGGTAGACGACCGTGAGGATAGAGTGGTTATGATTTTTCTGAGGTTATCTTTCTTTGACACACCCCCTTACCAGCACGGACTATTTGATGCGAACCCTACAGAGGTCGTCCTTCTGTTCTGGCGTAATTTTTCCGGTGAGTCATCACCAAAGGGAGGAAGCATTGGGCTCGAGTTTCGCTCTTATAAGAGCTCATCAGCAGTGCATGTCCAATGGCTGTGCCGGGATTCGAACCCCGGACATCTGACATACGAGGGGACCGTGTAAACACCACTCTACCAATGCACGTTGGACGCATCTGAATTTTCACGTCTGAACATGAAAATTCTGTTTCAAGTTTAAACTGCACTCATTGGTTTTGACCAGAGAAGGCTGGTGACAACTGTCGAGGGTTCACTACTAACACAGAGCTCCACCAAAAATCAAACGAGCGACGCCCACCAGATGAACCTATTCCGGATACGGAAAGTTCAAAGACCGGTCACGTTGTTCTGGGCTGGACCGAAAGCGGTAAGCTGTGGTGGCTAGTTCACATCCTGTTCAGCTGTTTTCATTCCCGCCCATTTTCCCGGAAGTGGCGGCGTTGAGATTTAGATCTGAGCCAGATGACAGTGTGAGTAGATGGACCTATGATTGTTTCGCAAGCCCCATGGGAACAAGTAACACTTACCCGTGGTAGTCAATCGGAAACGGATGGCTCTGGCCAAACCATCGATTGTTATGTATAGATCGGGTGTCATTTCTTGAACCTCTATCTGTCCAGGTATGACCAGGTAGCGTAGAAACGTTGACTGGAACAAACAAGGAAGGAGCAAAACCCGCATTATAAGGTCTTTTATAGTAAAAGAGGCGCGTCATTTTAATTGGGTTAAAGTACCTTGTGAGTACTGTTCATCTGATTGAACCGCATCATTGCCTGATTGGTTGGAACGAAAAAGGTTAGTTGGGCCTGCGTGCTGAGCATCGATTGGCAATTTTGGTCGGCCTGACAGGCTTGCCATAGCGTTCTGTTAAGAGATTGAACAGTACACAAATTCAGTGAGTAAGGTTGACAAGAGCGAGAAGACGATATCTCTCTGACTTGTCTACTTTCATTCACAGAATTTCTCCAATAAGCGTTTGAAATGAAGGGCAAAGGTCACTTTGAAATACGGTGGACTGACATCTTAATCTGATAAGCATCCTTTTCTGCGACAGAGGGGCATACGCTTTACCTACTACTCATTTAGACGTTCCCTCACAGTAGTAAGCTGTTGACAGTCTAATTCAGCAATCACATGGACCCAGTGTTAATCGATTGACGGGGTTCGGTCTCCTAACCGAAGTGGTTAAAAACGTAGCGGAAAGGTAGTTGTCGTGGACATTTCCCAGGCATGCCCAAGTTCTCTGTGCTTACCGCCTCTAACAGTGTGGAAGAGCGGTGAAACATGGTAGGTCGCCTGCCATACTCTCCCAAGGGAGACGCCATCCGTGGAGAGACAACTTACCGGAAGAGTTCGAAATGGTGGCACCTGTAAGGTATAATTTCCCTGAAAAGAAGGAATCCACGGTAGAAAATAGCATTCTGGATGGTCGTGGGGGCGGGAGAATCAATATGGTGTTTGTTTTGGAGTGCTTGCAATAGAGTAAAGGCCTTGGTTGGAAGGGATACCCAGCAAGACAGAGGCCGCCTTCAAGCCCCTTTTTTCTGATATCATCTCTTTGCGTGAATTACATCTATACGGGGTACATTACATGGAAACTGATCTGAAGCACTTGATTTCATGTTTTTTTAGCTGGTGTCGATAGTGCAGCGATGGGAGTGGCTTATTCAGTAACTGACCCGGAAAATCTCCCTCAGGTTGTTATTTTTCCTACTCAGGTAGTCAACTCGTTTACCCTCATCTTTGTGCCTCCCACAGTCTTACGGTTTCCCCATTCGGATTGAACGATTCTCGTTCTAGTTAGGATGGCATCTGGGACATCAGAGAAGTAAGTACTGTTTCGTTCAGCTGGAGGGAAGAAAAGTATACCTTAGACAACAATTCAACAAATGAATTATACCGAGCATTACTCACGGGTTCAGTCGGCGCACGATTTCCTCTCGAGTCTCGTACACAAATCCGAGCACGGAATTGATAGTGTGCACAACAGCCTGCTTGATTTCGACACCATGTCCGACAACTTCTGACTGGGCCGCTCCGCTGCTAACGAGGACTTGAAGAATAAAAGTAAATTCGAGAATTTTCAGCAACCTTATGAGTAGTGTATTGCATCTATACATGAATTCAATGATGCCAATGCGGCCTTCATCTGATCAGAATCACCGTGATTCCACCAACCTCACAATATCGATTGTCCGCTTTTGAAAAGAAAAAGGATTCTGAATAATGCGGTAAAGTCACGCAGCAGTTTCTGATTCGTACAACACTAATGTTATTTATCTCGGTTTGACTAAATTTGCTCAGCCATTTCAATGATTGCAACACAATAATCGATAATCAAAGTACTAAGTCATCTGGAACGTTCGGGCTTTCTCTATCCCGGTATAGGCCAGGGAAAGCGAGGAGACCAGAAGCGAGGAACCCAGGCGTTTTAGGCACTATTTGCTTAAAATATGGTTAGAAACAGTTCAGCAGCTGATACGCGCACGAAAGTAGGTCGTACAGAAAGAAGTGCTTTTAACTGATCTCTGTTCGTACTCCTAGCTGGACCGTCTTGCAGACAGTCAGATGATGTTCTCTCCTTTTGACGCCAATCGATGCGCACCCTTAGAGTGCAGTCCACTAGAAGGCACCACGTGATCCAATCGATCGGCTCAACAAAGGTCAAACTACAACCACGCCATTCGCTTAGGATAAAAAAGGTTAATTACGTCGGGAATTTGCACTGATGAGTCATCAGTCAAATTGGGCTCGACCGACTTACCTACACAATGCCGGACAACGTGATTTTGTCATGGGAATTCGACCACAAAATCCGATCAGACTTTACAATTGATCGATTGAGGCACGTGGTGGACGAATTTTTCAATTAAGGAGGATGGGAATCTTTCTAGTTAGATATATCTTTATTTCAGCGTACTTGCACGCACTTGCGGAAACGTGATTGGTAGGTGCTGTTGCTAGCGTCTAATTGCTAGTCATAAAAGTAGCTGGTTAAATTATCATTAAACAATTAGCCTGACCAGGATTAGTTGTTTTCTTATAGCATAGAACGTGCGAAGAGATTCTGTAGTGGAATGCTAACTGGTTTGTGACTAATACCCTATTGATAGGTCACATTCGGGAAAGAGGTCTTTGCTGAGATGAATATAGGTTATCAACACGGAAAATGGATTGGACTGTTGAACGAGGTTCTTTACCAGTTCAAGGCCATATGCCCACGGCTGCCTCCTCATTAAGCCTGCCATTTTTGGTGTGGCAACATCTGATTGGTTGACAACGTCCGGTGAGTTTCGAACTGCATCATTGGCTGGTTCGAATCCGTTTTAATGGGTCATAGGTGACACGTAGACTTTCTGTAAGCTAGAAAGGGAATTCGCTGGCGTTAATACAATGGCGCCATCATTACCGGGTCCCATCGCGGAGGTTGAAATTGGCGTGAACAGGCACACTAAACAGCCCGTGTATGGAGATTGGAGTGAAAAAAGACGGTCAAACTGGTCAAAAAGTGTATCGCGAACAAAGTTCAAGCTACCGACTACCCAACAGCCAACTACTGGGACTGCGTGGGCTTAATTAGTGTGAATATGGTCACGGGACTATGGTGTTGTTCGCTGCCATCAGTCTATATTTTGCTCACGATTAAGTGCAAATCAATACGTCGTGGTATCTACAATCTGATTTATTCAGTGAAGGTTTTCACATCTAATTCAGCCAGCTACTAACAACTGCTGCGAACTTAGGTGCTGTTTTGGGTCTCCCATGAATCGAGCAACAGAATGCCCCAATTCCTTTGGTTCTTACCACTAGATACTGCTCCAATGCAGACTTTTGAGCTCTATCGAACAGCTTGGTTGTACAACTATCCCCAAGTGCTCGAATGTCGCTCCTAAGACGAACGCACAACGGTCGTACTAGAAAAAATTTGAAGCTCACTATTAGAAATTGGTTGAATTTAGTTTTGACTTTTGTATAAGCCTCCTACAGATTTCCCCGAGACCCCCAAAAAATCAAATCAAATATGGAGCTGGAAATGTGGAAAGTGACAAGTAATCAGTTTCATTGTCTATCCATGTCAGGCAGCATTATTCTGGGCTTGAAGGTTATAGAATCTTGTCCTCTTTCCGTCTTGGGTGCAACCACACTGTACCTCAACTATGGAAGGAACAGCTTTCTCAACGTACTTCTTCAACTTTCCGACTTCGGGTCAAGGTGCGACTGCGTTGTATGGTTACTAACCACGTCATTCGTTTGCTGTGACCCATCGATTGCGGGTTTCGATTTTTTTTTACTATTTGAACGTGAGTCACCGTTACTTGATAGGATCTTAACACCGACATTATTAAGCGATCTGTGTGCCACATACAGCAGACCGGACAGGGCCTCAAGGTCAGACCATCGTCGCCCTTGCTCTGATTGGGCGATTAACACAGGCACGATGGTTGGGCGTTTGTGAGTGGTCCAAATCCATGGTTCACGTGTCCCAGCCAAATAACAGCGGAGCCTGGAGTTCATACAAGTTCTTTACGAATTAGCAGAGCAAGCCATGGCAGAATCGTCGTTCAGTAACGACTATCAACGTGTCACAGATGCGTAAAACCTTCATGTCATTCACGGTAGGCGATTTGGAGCCGTCTTAAGTCCAACCAAAAGCATGCCAAAACTCAACTTTTCACCGCAGAGACCTCAAACTCGTACCATTTTCGTGTCGCGGGGATATCATGATCTCCTACTGGAACCACAAACACGACACCAAATTCCTACCGCGTCAGATTGCGAAAACCTGAAAATCATTTAGAGTTTTGTGAGACGGTCGGATTTCTGAAAGTTTCTAGTTCAACCCAGTTCTCATAGCGTTAAAAATTTACATACCTTTTCCGTCCGACTCTCGTGAAAGCATGGAGGATGTGGTCTTGCTCCAGTCAGGCGAGAGTGGAGTCGAAGGGAATCCGCTACGTACCATGATTCGCGGAAAGTCCGCGGTCCACTGAGAGTAGACGATTTGGTTCGGTAGATACTGAGAGGCGAAAACCTGGAATATCACAAACAGTGGGCCGTAGTTTGAAGAAAAGGACATGAGAGAGATGTTGATTTCGAGTACAAAACAGCAGTTGAGGCCTCACTGTTCTAGCAACTGACGCGAGGCAGCTTAGGACTAAAACAACAGGAAGACATATCCTGCCAATGAGGTCAGTGAAAGCTGAAAAGCAGAGGGTCAATATATATCCGTTCCATCCATATTGTGAATCATCAACGGTTCCATGAAACTCAGAGGGAGCTTCGAACATGCGACCTTCTGGTCAGTGGTTGAACAATTGACTGGTAGGCCACAAGCGACTGGACAGTAGCGCGATTAGTTCACACTTGGAAAACTCAAAGGCTACATTAAAATCAACTAATAAGTGGATCGAGGGGATCGGAGTCTCGAAGACCTGCTTGACGACGTATCAAGCAATATGCACAAACTTCCGTCCTCAAACGAAGGTCTACGTTATGCTCTCGCTTAAGTTTGCTAATTTCACATGTATTAGCAAAGTCTATCTTTTCGTTGAATTCTTGTTATCAGAACGATATTAAAGGACTCGCTTCCAACCTACTACGCCTGTGAGGTTGGATCAGGGAGGTCAGCACGTTCGGATCTCTCTTATCTGACCTCATCGAGACTGTACAGGTCACCGACACTCGCTAGATCACGAGATTTGTCTTTTTTTTTCTTCCCATCTCAAATCACGTCATAGAATCGTGGCTCACTTGACTACACAGCTCACAGTCAAGACCTGAACCCCAAGACTCGCCCTCTTTCCCTAAACGTACAAATCACGACACATAAGGGTGACTCATCTGACATAGACTGTCTGGGAAGGTAGCAACAAGTCATGTGCTGACACCCACACACACGCAAACGTTCCTACATATAGGATAACAGCACAGCAACACAACACAACACAACAAAGCTACACACGTCGCCCAACTCGGAGCAGAGTCGCTCAGGACTTACGACGCTTCAAGCACGGATACTCGGGAATACGTGAGGCTGCTACAACAGCAAAGAAGACTCGAAACCTGCATCCGGACTTACAACAGGATTTATCAACATGCACCTGCAATACGATAAGTCCCTTGTTCGCATATGCACCTCTTGTAATAATTTTACTCAACAAGCTGATATTCTTAGTGCTCCCCGTTTTCTCGTTCGTATAACTAATTTTTGGGTTCTAGTAGAGCACTAGCAAAGGAAACTATCTGCCCGTCAGAAGTCGAGTATACAGGGTTGTAGAAAACTCTGTTCTGCTATGTCGGTGAGCAACCTGACTTCTGTACGCGGAAGACATAACGAACCTCCAGTATTCGATCACCGGTCTCTTCGGAATGGTCAGTAATGCCAAATCATTTTCTGGAGAAGTTACACACGGTAGATGAGATGATGATGATGCGCTGGTTCCCTCACGTGCTTCATATGCCAGTGGATCAACTTCCTCCGAGAGAGTCTTCTTCAACGAAGCCAATAGAAGAAGTACATGACAAGCGGCAACTCCAAAGTGAAGAATGAAATCCACTATCAACAACCTCAGCTTTGCTTGTCATTGCAGCCTCTTTGCACAGGGATTCCACACAGCATTTTCAGACACTGGTCACCCATCCGGCGACGCTCATTCATCCAAGTTACAGTCTTCGTTGATATAGCTTCCCCCAGATCTCTCCATAAATAGCGCTCTATCCGCTCCAACTTTCTGGCTTGTCGGGGAACTAGGTTCATCACTGAAAACACATCACATGGTCGCTTCATTGATTGGCTCCTCGGGCGACAACTTCTTCCATGAAACATCACTGAACATCACATGGTCGCTTCATTGATTGGCTCCTCGGGCGACAACTTCTTCCATGAAAAGTTCATGTGTCCAGTGAAATTACTTACTTCCTGGCTTGCTTGTTTGGCATCAATCTTTACCTTCCGAAAAGTCCGAATCTCCGAATTATGAGCAGTATCTCAGAATTTGATTGAGTTTGTAGATGGTCGCATTCCCTAAAATTAGTTTTGTGTCTTGTAGCTACCCAGTTATCCACATACTTAGCTGTTCAGCTCACAGTCACCCACTGGATCACGAGACCTGTCTTTTTTTTTTACTCACAAGCCACATCACATCACATTGACTCATCGGACATCGATTGCCTGTGCCGTCTAGTGAGCATAGCCACTACTCATGTGCTGGCACGCCCACGTACACGCAACGCAAACACCATATGGAGAAACCAATCACAGCCGACACACAGACTCGCGCACGCGCAAGGAGCAGGAAGTCAACCACTCTCCACAAGTCCACGGACAATTATGGAACAGGTGTAGGAGCCATACTGAGAAGAAAACGCGTTCCCGCCGTCCGGACTTTCACCAAGGAACTATCACAGACGATAAGTTCCTCTGTTGACTTGCCCCCCTGTTTTGCGTTATATTTATTTTTATACGTGTTACCTCTCACTCACCATCGTCAACTATACTATAAACTTTTATTAGTGCATTGTATTATGGCCTTCATAAACAGTGCACCAAAAGGAATAAATTTGCGTGAATTTATCGTTTCATTCCGTTCGTCCCTTAAGAACATACGTCACTCTATATGAAATAGGAAGATATCGAGAATCCAAACTTTACCGTTGTCCAGTCGACAAGGTCTGAAAGAGAGCCTTTAACGGTGGACAACGCTCGGGAGACGCAGCCCTTGCAAACGCGTGCTGAGAAACCTGTTTACATGCGGACCACACATTGGACGACCTCAAAGTCCTGAAATGTATCTTAGAACAGTTGTTCAAAGTAGATCTGACCTAGCGAAATACACTCATTTGCAAACTAATCTGGCTTTGCGAGAGACTCATCTGGAACCCAGCCGAATCTCTCGTTTGTGATGTTTCTAGGCAACTGAATGTGCTGCACCAAACCGCCTCATGTTTCAGTCGCTACGACATTTGAGATATCGCGATACGTGTATACTCGTAATGCACTACTCATAAGGTTGCCGAGTACCAGGTGAGTGTATTTCGCTAATTTCGTGTAATTGGGTCTCAAGTCACGGAAACTCGTGGACTGCGCCTACCTGATAAGCCCCAAGAAGGGTGCAACCGGTCGTCAACTATCGACGAATTATCAGCAACCTT